ATAAATAATGCAGGAGATATGGAGGCCTATCAGGTATGACCGAATGAATTACAAGACGAGCTTTCACCTTTAATCCAGAAGGCGATAAGAGGAGAAGGAGACAAAGGGTTAAAATCTGCCTTAGAATGGAGACAGATAAGAAGAGGATGAACAACATTTCGAAAGAACTGGAATGGAAGGTTCAAAACGGAGTGGTTTGCAGAATACTGGTTTGCGATCTGTGATCCACTGTGGTAATAGACGCAATGAATTAAGTAAGTAAGTTTGAAGTGGATGCCACCGTGTTGGAGCACTTAATGTCAGGACATTCTGTAAACTAGGGCAACAAGCTTCTCTAACTAGGACTTTATAATCTCGCGTCAGAGATGTTTGCTGCTTCTCCGAAACGCGTATACACGATCCTCTTAAAATTGTTAATTTGATTTCACCCTATCAAAATGAAGAAGCAGCTCGGAAAGATAGGGAAACTCACAGCTGCTTTTTCATGGTAAATGCCTTGACTGCAGTTCAGACGAGGTGAAACATGTGTTTTCCAGTAGGCTCTGGACAACATAAAAAGAGGTCTTGTGAGGCAATCGGGTCAATCAATGTGGATGAGTCAATGAATATATGCATCTACGCTATTGCAAACGCTTTTGAGGCACATAGTACAATCTGTAGCCACATATTCTCTCTCCGTATTTTCTCTGAAGCCAATGCTCTCATCAAGCCTAATTGAAGGTGAAGGGCTAGACGTCTCATAATGGGAACCGAATTTCTTCAAATGTCACGAGGCCGGCGCCTGTTCTGACAAAAACAGCAACTACTCTTTGAGGTACCCAAAATTACTGAACCATGTGGCAGAACAGGAGAGTCATCTATGTTGCCGCAAAGATGAAAAGATGCAACTTCAGGAAATCTATGAATACGAAACTGCCTCACACACAAGGAGTTGCCATGATGGTTTACAATCAAGCCAAAGTAGCTCTTATAGGATGGGGATCTCACTGACCGATTATCATCAGCACATCTTTTATTCAGAGACGATGAGCACGACAATGAACGTCACTCAATGCTATGCACCTACCAACGACTACAACGTAGACGTTAAAGACCAATTCTACGAAAGGCTGCAATATATCGTCGAGAGACGCTCATAAAGTGATTCCACGATTCCGATTGGAGAACTAAATGCCGAGGTTAGAATGGACAACAACGAACATGAAGACATCATGGGACGAAAAGAATTGGGAGAACGATACGAAAGTTTTGCGAATCTATATGCCTTCAACAGACTGATCATTAGCGGCACAATATTCTCTCACGAACGTATGCACAAAGATTCACGAATTTCAACGGATGACGCTGATAGAACAAAGTCCACCTTATCTGTATCCATGATATGTTCAGATGGAACATGGAGGATGTGACAACTAAGAGTGGAGCTGATATAGCCTCAAATCACCACTGAAACTCACGAAACACTAGACAGCAGGGCACACAACATCACAAAACTTTATCACGGTCATTCTTTAGGATACCGAAACGCTCGACGAGTTCAATATAGCCCTCAGCATTTGGTTTCAGGATTTTCACAATCTACTCAATGGAGAAGACAAAATGTTTGACGACAATTTGAAATGGGTGCAGGAGACAATCACTTTAATATGTGATGAGGTTCTCCACCACAAGATACAGCATTACAAATAACTGATCACTGTGAATGCACTGGATTAGAATCCAGATGACGGAGGAGTAAGCAGGCAGCAATAAATATCACCCCAACAATTGGAAAGATGGCCACGGCTGAAGCTGAGTACACAGAAATAAACAAGCAAGTGAAGAGGAGAATCACAGTCGACAAATGTAAGTATGTGGAAGATCTAGCAATGACGGCTAAAAATACTAAAACAGAAGACGAAATACGAACATTGTACTATACAACAGAGACGGTTGCTCGAAACTGTCGTAAACCAGGACGACCGGTGAAAAGCAAGGAAGGCAAATTAATCAGTCACAATTAAGAACAGTGGAATATGTTTGTGGAGCACTTTGAGAGACTGTTTAATCGACCATACACACTGAAACCATTCAACATGTTTTCAGCATCCATGGACCTCGCTTACAACTTAACCCATCAACAATCGAATAGGTAAGTACAGCCATCAGGGAAATCAACTGCGGCAATGCAGCAGGTCCAAACAACATTCCAGCAGAAGCGATGAGAACATACGTGGTGTCTGCTGAAAAAATATTCCACATCCTTTTTAAAAGCATTTGGGTGGAAGACCAAGTATCAACAGACTGGGAAGAAGGATACATCATCAAAATATCAAAATAACGAGATCTCAGCAAGTGTGAGAGCTACAGAGGCATAACTATTCCCTAGCTGAAATTTAATTTGTTCTCTCTCATGACATGTACAAATTGTGATTTCACCTTCATGACAAGCTGTGACTGTTTTATTGATGTATGAAACACAAGGAATTTTCATTGATAATATCAACGTAATTTCAGAAGCCAATTACGCAATTTGTATTCACAGTGTCATTGATCACCGAAGATTGGTGGAGTTGAGTAAATCAGTAAGAGTTAGTATACTAGGGAAATGTTTGGTAAACATTTATTTTATCCATCTGATCTGCTTAGAATTAAACTTTCACCATAAATCTCCATTATTTAGTAATCTAATTTAATAAACATACGGTAGTTTATTTCATGACATAATCTGGCAGTTGAGTTCAGTTTTATTTCATGCTTATGAAGCAAGGTCCGTTTGAGTTGAGGGTGTTTAGCGACATTATAACCAAAGGGTAACATCACGTGTCAATAATTCAGAGATACATCAACAAGTGCTCGGGTGTAGTACCCTTCACTTATAATATATACTTTTGTCATTACTGAGCTTGTATATAAATGTTTGCTTGGACATCGTTTACTGTCTACACACATTGTCATTTGACTAGATTTCTCGAGGAACCTTTACAACAATTCGACGGCCATATCGACGATATATATGTATATTTGTATTACACTCGATATTGGTAAAAATTAGTCAATCACTTAATATTCTGAAGAATAAAGAAATTGTGTCAACGACTCGTGTTCTATAGTAACGGACGTCAGGATGGAGATCTACAGAATTAAGATAATAAAGAACGCCCGCCGCCACACGGGTACAACAACGGTAATACATTGGAAGACTGTTAGGTTCGTCACTAGGTAAGCTTGAAACTATTACGGGTTCAGTTTAGTCGATAAACTCGAACGAGACAATGAATCACCGTCGAGGTAGGCTACCTTCATCTGAAAACGGCTAAAGAGAAGTCTTCATATAGTGTTGAAAGTGTATTCTACAAACACCCAGTAAGCACAATGCAATCAAGTACACAAATCTCGTTTATTTTTACATCATAGAAACGTCCTTGGGGAAGTCACATAAATAACACACTAAAATACACAGGAATAAATTACAGCCAAGGATTTTTCTGGTGAGAAATGAAATTTCTAGGTCAAATGATCACTCCATGCTCGCCAACGTGAAATCCAAGATAAGGCATTTATCAAGCATGTTCTGAGGATCTAACGACCCCAACAGCGACCCAATCTCGAAAAAGGTAATTCAGCGGTTTGAATTCGAACTGTAAATGTCAACCTAATGATTTTCACATGGTGCGTTATTTGAAAACACTAGGACTGGATGAAAAAATTGAAGAGGTAATTAGTGTATGACATAGTGTAACCGTGTGAAAAAGATTTGTACAAGAATGTCATTTTTTTATACTTCACAACTTTCCTGGTCAGGGTCGCAGAGATGGTACAACTCAGTGGCTTGAAATGTTATCAGACATGGCTTATGATAGAATCCAGTGGTGATCTTTGTTAGGATATTCATCCAATAACCTAAGACAATTATTAGTCTATTCCTATTTTTTTAATTACTACTAGTCAATTTTATGGTCGTCCGAGATTTCACTGTCACGTACTCCAATTCTGTTTCTTATTGGTTGTCCTGACTATCAATGTCACTTGAAATTTTACTTCCTATTGGTCATCTTAACTGTCAATGTCACAGAATTCGATGCTGTTTCTCATTCAACCACAATGTATGAATACGCATTATCTGTAACGTTTTATGACCACGACCAGAACCCACTCCCGGATCCCTAGTCCAGGATCCTGATTCTCTTCTGGATTCGGACCCCGTACTTTGTGGATGCTTGTGGAATACAGGTTCTAGTTCATACCAAGTCTTCTTATTTTACTCAATATGGGGGGTTGGGATAATCGGATTTGAGTAATATGTCTTGTCTGAGGATCCTCGATCGTCGCTCTCGTTTTCCGACTAAGTAAACTCGTAATAGTTCAAGTATATCAAAAGTTGACGTGTTTACGTGCAGGCGTAACAATCTTGCTGTAACTTTAATATCGCTTCCTTTCATAAGTAAGAGAAAATTCTTTAAATCATAAGCATTCTTTGTAATTGACTGTTCTTTAACTAAAGTGTCTCACCCCAACTAGCATTCTTATTATTTCACTCTTCTACACCGATTTCTGTTCATTCTTTTATATTTTGTACACCATTCTCTCTTTACATCTCTTCAAAATCTCATTTTTGTTGTATAACGCATAAATTTATTCATGCCGGCTTTGTATCAACATTTATTGAACTGTTCTCAAATAAACAATAGATATTTACTCTTTTTATGATGTAACCAGGTCTTAAGATAATATACTTTAAAATCTAGGTGTATGTCGATGTGTACATCCGATTCTATTCATTAAGTTAAAATATAATCACTGAGTTGTAATGATCACATCTAGTGCGCTACAAACATTGAACAAAACATCACTTGAATTTATCACACACACACACACACTTCTGATTGATTTTGATTGACTGACTCTTCAAGTTTTTCTTCAGATCTAAATGTAAATCTGAAAAAAAGTGTTGTTTTTTTCAATTACTTCATTAATTGATCAATGAAAGTTTGAATGAATTGTTGAAAAATATTAATATTCACATAAACAATTATTAGCGCCAAATAGCTAACAACAAATATATATATATATCAAACAAAAAAAATCAATACAAATAAAGCTGTTTAGTATGCATAAGATAGATATATATGATGATATGGGAATGATTGTTTAAAATGACCAAATTTGTAAAAAAACGCGCGCGCATTTTTTGGCGGGCTTTATGACACTCTTTTTGGGTGTGTGTTTTGTTTTTGTGTTTTTAGCCAATCATTCAGCGGGAATATCAATCAATAAATATGTATATATAAATACTAAAACCGAATGATCAATTTAAATACTGTGTTCAATGATCAATTAATTGTCCATTGTATAACTGTCATTCATTATTCTTGTAACCTTTTTTGCGAAATATTCAAATATCAACAATTAAAGCAAGCGGACAGATTTTGTAAATAAATAAACACTTGAATATATATATATATATGTATATGTATGTATATGTTTTACTTGTTCAAATATCAACAGTTTGCTTTGGTAACGGTTTTTTGTGAAAATTGAAAATAAAAATACATTGAATTACACAAAAGGCTATTCGGTGATAAATGATAGATAATATGATAATTGAACATTGATCAATAATAATTGATAATTAGAATTTTAACTCTTTTAGCTCTTTTCTGGCATATCTTGTAATGTATGCCATTGTGCTATAGGTCGTCTTGGATTAGCTAACATATCTGACCAATGACGAAGGGCAGCACCTGTTGCATTACAACCTAATACAACTCGACCAATTGGTTCGGATGTACCAATACGATCATAATCAACTACAGTCACTATTAAATTGACTTTCTGTAAGAAAAACAAAATTTAAAAAAGAAATCAAAAACAGTTACAGTGTGATTATCTTAAAGTATTGAAGTGAAGTAATACATAGTCATGTAGATTAGCAGTGATATATGTGAACATTTTGTTAGTAAATTGTGTGTTCTCTAAATATAGATATATTCCATTTGGATTAAACGAATGAAGGGTATTGTTTTAAACGGTACCCACAAAGGTCCCTAGAGGGCCAAGCATAGCCGAGATGAAAAGAAGTGGCTCAACATTTTAAAATGTTCTGATATGGTCATGTATATAGCTGAATGTATGGCAAACAGCAGCGGATTCCTATTCACGACGTTTATTGAATCCAAGGGATGAAAACTGTGTGTTTTAACCGAACTTAACTGGTCTTCTGAGTACGGAGAACCTATGTTTGAAAGTTGGGAAAGCGTCATCCCAGATCAGTTATATGCATGAGTTCCACAAAGTTGAGAAATAAATGGCATCTCAAGCGAATTTCTCCACTTGCTACCATCAAACTAAATTTGGACATGTCACTATACTCACTTGTGGATTATACCTGTAAGTCGAAGCCTTGAGAAGTGACTTCCTATGATAACCACCTGTCTCAGTTATATTCAGCATTAGTACTAACAAACAAATGTACATTCTTGTTTGACTCCAAACACTTAGTCAAACTTCACCAAACTGAGTTCCGCCTTACTTCGCTTCTCATTTCGCTTTTACGCTCCTCATTTTATTATCTGTTAGCTTATGCAATGCTTATAAAGCACATCTATCCTCATAAAACCCTGTTGGGCTCTTAATTACCGCCGTCGTACAAACAAGGTTCGCCTAACAACAACATATACATATAAATTGAATGAAGGAAGTATGTCACAACCCATTCAATTGTTCATTCGAATCGAAGTCAGATCTCAAGCCACTAAACTGCGTTTACCAATGTAGTTCAGTTCAATAGACAATATCTGATTCAATATTTTGATTTTTGCTACCTAAACCTTTTTTCTAGCCTTATCCTACATCACAAAACATTATACTTCAAGCTGGAAAGTGCACTTAACCACAGTGATTGATAAAAAATTTCATATCTCATCAGCTAACTCATAATATATATATTTATTGTATTCTTTGTTTAAATATACCATTTTATGCGTTCAAGGTAAAAAAAGGAAAGGAGCGAAAATCAAAATAAGCGAGTTGTGATTCATTCGAAACCTTGCTCTCTACCAACTTCTAGTTTTGATGGACAGTTTGTCATGATCTCATATTGGCTTTATTTCTGATTGCTGTCTATTGCCTTTGTATTCTATTGAATGTAAGTACACTATTCCAAACGCTCACTAGGTTGTTGGCTAAGCTATTTCTCTTGTACTTGCCTCTCCCAGATAACCTTCACATAACTGCTGCGCCTAGCAAACAAGATACCTTCTTACTAACAGCATACTAACCAAAGGTTACACAGTTCAACGTAAAGCGAAGTCAGTCAGTTACAACGTAGAACTTCGTACGTAAGTACACCAGTTCATGCTGCCACATCACATTAGCACAGAGATACAATTGTAAATTCAAATCCAATAGTGGTAGAGATAGTAGAAGAATTACTGCTACTGGAGAAAATCAGGATTTTAAGATATTATTGATGAAGTATAATTGAGTGAGATCAGTTTAGGAATAAGACAAAGGTAGATGTGCTGACAAATCAAGAAGTTTATGATTTGGCAGAACACAAAGAGTGGATGCACCTGCTCCATTGTAAACGATTTTAAGCCATATCATTCAACGTCTCTAACCATTGGTGACTTTCATCTCGCGTACCCTTAACCACGTAGTCGACATCTACCAACATACCTCAGTAAACTTGTCTGTCAGTGACTTCATGGATTTGTTTGGTCGCCCCCAAGCTTTCTACCAACCTACTCCTTGTTAGGATATTCATCTAATATCTTAAGAGAATTATTGGTCACTTCCTATTGGTTAATTCCTACTGGTCAATTTTATGATCAATCAATGTCACGTACTCCAATGTTGTTTCTTATTGGTTGACCTGACTATCAATGTCACTTCAAATATTGTTTCTTATTGGTCGTCTCAACTGTCATTGTCACAGACGTCGATTCTGTTTCCTATTTCACCAAAATGTATAAATACGCATTATCTGTAACATTTTATGTCCACGACCAAGACCCGGTCCCGGGATTCCTAGTTCGGGATCCTGATTCTTTCTCGATCTTTATAGAATACAGCTTCTACTTCATATCATCATGTCTTCTTATTTTTTACTCAATACGGGGGGGGTCAGGATAATCAGATTTGATTAGTATGTCAAGGTCACCGGATCCTCGATCCTCACCCTCTCATTTTCCGAATAAGTTAGTATAAACTCGTAAATACTTCTTCAAGTATATCAAAAGTTGACATGTTTTTACATGCCAGCGTAACAACATAACAACACTCCTATGCCTTACTATTATTATTTTTTGACATTCAACATAAAGCCTAATCATATCACTTACTTGTATTTGATCAAACGGTACATCAAAAGCAAATGATTCATTGTAATATGGATTCAATGTGTACTTTTTAATAGTGGTCTTCTTTTTCTTAATACGTTTCCCGTTGAACATTAATGATAATTTAACATATGGATCTAAAGTGTACAGAGAAAAGAAAAGATATATATATATGCATTTTTTAATTGAGTTGATCATTGTTTGACTACTATTGTGATGCGGGCTACTTATAAGTAGTAAATGACGCGAGTGAAAACGTAATGTCTGGCAGCAGAAGAGAAGATGAGAGATGATCAAGAAAGGAAGAGCGGGGGGAACACAATGGGATTTGTATGAAACGTATGAACAATGGATTGATGATGTTTTGCAATAGGAACAGTCCCGTTCAATGGATGATGGATTGATATTTTGGCAAATTAACGATTTATGATATGGTTTTTCTATTTTACCAAGTAACTGTGTAATTTGTGTTCTCCTTTACTACACTACCATTCGAAACTCACTTAAGGTTAGATGATGGTTTCATACTGGTATGTGACACATCAGCAGACCACGTCTATGGTCTCCACTGACGGTAGTCGGAACCAAGACCTTGGATGTTAACCTACAGACAATTGAGCTAACAGCTAACAGTGTCAGTGTCTAACTTTATTCAAACCAAGGTATTGCGCATACTCACTGATTGTGTTCGATAAATAACTGCCTACTCTTAACTGGGTTGAATTCAATTGTTAGGGCTTCTGACTAGATTTCTGAGAATTTCTTCACAAAGCTAGTCACTAATGAGTAGTGACCAGTGAAGTTCAACAGTGTCTGGTGTAGACAGTTACCTACCGAACACAATCCCTGAGGTTGTGTAATGCCTTGGATTTAGTGAAGTTAGACAATGACACCAATGGAAGCTGACTCAGCTGTCTAGGGTGTTTAAGAGTTTGTACGTGAGATCGAAGGTCCTAGTTTCGATTTTTGAGTACAGGGAACACGGATGATCAATGGTTATGAGTCCTACATTTGTACTAAAAAGGTCGTTCAATGCTTTTAGGTTTCTAGTAGTGGTCTAACAATGATTGATTCATGATTTCAATGAATTTCAACAATGAAAATTTAACATGTGATTGAAAACCACTGTAAATCATTGTACACATAGAAATGTTCCACTTTTTGAAATATCAAACTTATTCTTAATGTTAGACTCTAAAATTCTTGTTTCCGTCAAGTTGAAGATTATTGTAGATTGGTTGTGTAAGTTGCCTAGTTTAGGGAATGTTCATTCAAAAATGATATCATAAATGATTCAACTTAGATCAAGAGTCTACATCCATGATTGCCAGTGACGGTAATCGGAACCAAGAAATTCGATGTTGCGCTCAAATTCTTAATCTCCAGACAACTGAGCTAGCATCCAACTGTGTCAGTGTCGAATTTCATTCAAACCAACGTACTGCGCATACTCACCGATTGTGTTCAGTAGGTAAATGCCTACATCAGATATGGTTGATCTTCACTGGTTATGGCTTCTCACTAGAACTCACTAGAACTCTGAGGACTTCATCATGAAGCTATTCAGTAATGAGTGGTGACCAGTAGATTTAAGTCTACCGAACCCTATCAGTGAATTTGCGCAATACCTTGGATTGAGTGAATTAAGACATTAACGCCGCTCAGTTGTCTAGAGGTTAGGAGTTTCTACATGAGATCGAAAGTCCTGGGTTCAATTTTTGGGCACAAGGATCATGAATACTCAGTTCTTATGAGTCCTACACTGGTATGAAACGGTCATCCGATGCTTTCAGGTTTCTACTAGTGGTCTGACAATGATTGATTGACGATTTCAATGAACTTCAATAATCTTTACAACTCGATAATAAAAATTTAACATCTGTCTGAAAAGCAGTGTAAATCATTCTACACACATAGATGTCTAGCTTTTTCAATATCAAACTTATTCTCTCTGTTAGACTCTAAACTTCATGTTTCCGTTAAGCTGAAGATTATTGTTGAAGTGTTGTGTCAGTTGCCTACTCTTTTAAATATAGATTAAATCCTATCCATTCCAAAATAATCCAAAGTGATCACTCACTTCCTACATCTGAAATTTCCCTAATTTATCATGAATCGATATCTAGATTGGAATGAGTTTGGAAGTCTTAACAATAAATTACACATCTTGTTTATCAATGATTCCTCAATCAAAATCTCTTTTTCAAGATATCAATAATAGTTACTAGTAATAATGGGGGGTACAAAGTTCCACTTGAACTTTAGTGCGGTGTTACCCGAGATAGTGAGAATTAACCTCATTACAAACTAACGCAAACGTCCAGGAGGGGATCGAGTCAATTTTCCATTCTATCTAATCTGTTGATTACGGAAAACCAATGAACTTTGAAGGTAAATGTAACAGTTTGTTTACAGAAATGTTCATTTTAGTGTGCATCTGCATTCTATGCAGATAGAGCAATTAGGTCTGGTTGGGGGAACTAGATCGATCATCATAAATTGTGCAGTAACTAGTGCTCAGCTATCTGACCAACATGTATTGTGGTTTGAGCTTAAAGGAGTACATCGTCAACTGACGGCTTATTAGGTTTGACGACATGATATTTGATCGTACAACCTCTGGTCGATGCAACGCATATATGTAACTTATACTTGAGTGAGGACGTTTCTCCATGTCTGTATGCACTTAAAGAATGAGAAATCCTAGTCTAAACATCTTACTTCTGTTCATAATGTATATTATCGACCGCGTCAATCTATGCCTATGTGCATGTCTCTGACCTACGAGTACTATATGTTTGCATACTCGAGCTATCATGTCCAATACTGAACGTACTCATTAATACTCATCAACATTTTCGTCTGTCTTAACAAGTTTCCGAATATAGTATATATATATATATATATCAGTTAGCCGTCAAACAGTATAATATTTCTTCCCTTATATCAATAAATACAGACAATTATGGACATACTCACATTCGAATGGAACGATGTTGAAATATTGGATAGAGGAAGTACAAAGAATACTAGACAACTATTAGAAGCTTGACACTCAAGTCCGACGGAATGGATCGATAAACAGATCAAAAGGGGAATTAAAAATTAACATAACCTGTTCAAGGTTAATAATAGATAGAAGTGAAGCATTCGAATTTCTCCACGTTTGACCTGTAGCTTGTGTTCTGCTAACCTCGATCTTAACTGGTTGCTGCTGACCTTAAACCTGTCGTTGTTTGCAACTTTGTTTTGATTTATGTCTCCCTTATGATCTGTTTCTTGATCCTATGTCACCTATGATTTTTCTAATTGGTTGATAAATTAGGTCAATGTCGATGTGTTTGTTGATTGCTGATTGAAATGAGTGCCAGGTAAGCTTCTAGAAATTCTCTAGTGTTCTTCGTCCTCCCCCTACCCAGTATTTCCACATTGTTACAATCGAATGTGTGTCCATAATTGTCGGTGTGTTGTTGTCGTGGCGTGTGACTGCTAATTGATGTTCACGTAAACGGAGCTGAAGAGTTCGTCCACTTTGTCCTATGTAGTGTTTTTCACAGTTTGAGTAGATGATTAAACGTGAAGAAATTCGAATGCTTCACTTCTATCTGAACTTTTGTGCTGATGATGTTGTTCAGTAGAAGAACAATGAAAGCTCCACAACCAAAACAACCAGCTCAGAGAACGAAACACCACTACAATCATCCACCTGATCTACAAGTTTTCTCCACCATCTCAAGGTTAATAACGACCAATCAAGTTCAAGGTCACCAAAACAACCTACGAGTCAGACGTGTAGAAATTTGAATACTTCACTTATCTACATGAAGTTTATGCTGATTATGTTGTTCAGAAGAACAATGATGAATGCTCCACAACTAAAACATCCAGGTCAAAGAATGACGATACTCCATCATCTCTCACTTCCTGCTATGTGGTGTAGGGTTAACTAACTCACTAGTTGAATACTCAATAATTCGACAAAGTTATCTATACTACTCATATCAAACATTTCATTGAATATGAAACAACAAGTTTTTTTGTTTACCTGAAAGTCCACCGACATCCATTTTTTTCAAATTTTTCGCTTCTAATATATTGACATTTAAACGACCCGATGTTGGTACATAACGCAATGAGAAACAGATATCACCTAAACGATTTTCCTATAAGAAAAGAAATTTTTTAAAACAAGTATGTTGATGAATTTAGATTAGAATTTTTGATTTATTTACAAAAGTTTTGTGAGAAAATTAGTGAATTCTAAAGTATTTTTTCATTTAACACCGGTTGATGTCAGTTATACAGTTATTATATAATGAAAGGTAATGGAAAGATGTTTTTTTCTCAGTAGGAAATGTCCTCACATTGTGCAGTCTTGAACATGTCAGAGATTGAATCCTCTCACGACATTATAGTGCATTCTAAATTCTATTCAATATGAAAAGCAATCATTATTACGTAATTTTCTGTAATAAAGCATTGAGAACGTTTTTGAGATGTAACGTCTAACTTGATGTGAAGAGGATGGTCACAAAACAGATTTGAAACTGCGATGTTATTCCGATTCGTTGTCCCGAAGCAACTCTCAGTAAATAAGTTAAGTTACTGAGAAGACTTGACAAACGGAGTTCAACCATGTTGGGTGTAGGCAGTAACTACCAAAGACAAATTGGCGAGGTCGCGCAAAACCCCTAGATCGATCAGAGTTAGAAATTAACACCGTTGGATGCCGGCCCAGTGGTCCGATGGTGTTCGCGCACAATATCGAAGGTCCCGAGTTCGAATCCTGCGAGGTGTAGTAGTCGTGGATGCGCACTGCTGATGAGTCCCATACCAGGACTAAACGGCCGTCCAGTGCTTCTAGGTTTGTAATGGTTGTCTAACAATGATTGATTGAAGATTTCAAATGTGTAAAAAACACAAATCTCCAAAACTCTAACTGAAAAGATTATATATATGTTGAGGATGTTAGATCCCCAGCACTCACTTGATAAAGGCCCTAATTTCGGATTTTGTGTTTTCACGCATAGGCTGATCAGTTGAGAGAGTGATTTTTCTTTGTAACTCAAGCTTACTACTGAATTATCCTGTTCCGCAGTGATATATTCAGTCATAAAATTGATCAAATTTACTACTTAACAGTCGGTCAGTTACAACGTAAGACTGCATACGTAAATAAGTTCAGGTTGCCACATCACATTAGCACAGAGATTCAATTGTCAATTCAAATCCTATAGTATTAAAGGTAGTAGAAGTATTAACGGTAATGGAGAAGACTAGGGTTCGAAGATATTACTCAAGGGTGAAACGGCCGTCTAGTGCTTCCAGGTTTCTGATGGTGGTCTACTAACATTGATCGATTCATGGTTTCAAATTGAAACGTAACAATCTTCACAACAACCCAGTAATGCAAAGTTTCAATTCATATCATTTCTTTGAACTCACTCACCTTTTCACCTTCACCTTCTGGTGGACTTAAATCACGCCATTCTTCAATGACATTACATAAATCAACAGTACTTAATGGTACTTTGATTTGACCGATTTGATCATGTTTAGAGAATCGATCAAAATCGTACACAGTAAATAGTAGTGTTTTTGAACTAATCTCTGCATAAGGAATCTATGAAAAGGAGGGAAATAAAGAGCTGAACAACCTGACAACGTGAAGTCATTGAAACGAGTTTTAATTTATAAAATAACACGTAAACAATGAAATTATTTATGTATAGATGTAACTGAATTCAAGTTTTGTGTAAGCGGTATCTATCCTTTGTGTACATAACCTTACTAGGTAATTCCAGTCTTAGCATTTTAGTAACGAGTATGGTACACCACAGAAACCGAATCAAATTGTAAAATATAATGCCTACACTCATCAGAACTTGTTAGTATTATCCGAATAGGTCAGCGGTGATTTTCAGGTAACAGTTTAACTGGATCATATAGATTTGAATATCAAGGGGATATTTGAGAGGATCGACAAAGCAAGGAACATTTGAAACCCGAAACAACTATCAACCAACACTAAAGTCACAACTTACAAAACAAATATCAAGGCAGTATGGGGCGGAGACCTGGAAAAACTATCAAAGCCACCATCCAGAAGATATAAGTATTCATTAATGAATTCGTTGGCCAGACACTATCAGCATAAACCTTCTGTGTGAGAGAACAAATCAGATTCTAGCGGAGTAGAAAATCAGGAAGAAGTGCTGTAAATGGATGGAACACACATTAAAGCAATCACTTAACTACATTACAAGGCATGGCTTCACTTGGAATCTCCAAGACCGGGATAAAAGAGTAAGGTCAAGGAATTAGGGACAGACATAAAGAAGCATGAAGCACAGTTGGACAGAACCGGAAAGGAAAGCTTAGGACAGAGTAGATTGGAGAATGTTGCTCGGCAGCTTATGCTTCATTGAGGGAAACAGGCGATTTAATCTTGCAGTTTCCATTGCCAATTCTGGCTAAACATTAAGCTGAAGTGGGATTTCACATGATTTAACAAAAATCAAGTAAATTAATAAAGGAAATAGTTATCTTTCCAGGTTTTACTAACTTCACATTCTCCTGTATGCGCACTGACTGACTATTACCTCATGGACTGATAATTTTGGTTTATATCGATATGTCTGGTAATTGTAAATTGACCTGATTACCTACCATCAAAAGGGGGATACAATCAAAACAAAGGTGTGAACAACGACAGATTTAAAGTCGATAGCGACCATTCAAGATCGAGGTTAACAGAACAAGCTACAGGTCAAATGCGTGGAGAAATTCAATTACCATGTTTCTCTTAATTCTCAAACTTAATTCAAACGACGACAGTCTTGACATCTTTTATAACTCTCATTCCTATCCGTAGTTATATAAATTTAACTAACTAACAGCATACCCTATTTACTAGCTTATTCTTGACTGTCTTCTTCTACACATCTTCTGTTCTTCAAAATACTTTGACGGCATCATGCTTCGACATCAAACACTTTTGCGTTATCAGTAAATGCAGAGCAACACTGTGCTAGACATCCACTGAATACTACATTTGTATTTTATGAAGTGAATGCTTTTTTGCTCTGTTTGTTCGTTCCTGTCTACGTGTGGATCGTATCAGTTTTTTTCTCTAAATCTAGAATTCTTACTACAGTTAGCTACATACGTAAGTCTGTTCCCTCCATGAAGAATAGGCTGCCAAACATCATTCAACAACCTACTCTGTCTTAAACCTTCTTCCCCAGTTCTACACAATTGTTACTCATTCTTTTCATGTCTGCTTTCGATTCTAGGAGCAATGGATTCTTTGGTTTTCACCTTCTCTTTTGGTTTTAAGAATTCCAGGTTAAGGCTTGCACTGTGATGTAGGCAGTTGATTTCCTCAGTGTGTATCTTATTTCCTGATTTCTTTTTCTGCTGATATCTGAGTTTGCTCGCTTTGACAGTGGGTTATTGTTGATAGATTGAAGCATAGTGGAATAACTTAGCTTGTCTCGTTATTATGTTACTGATTATATAAATATATATATATATATATATATATATATATATATATATATATATATATATATATATATATATATATATAACCTGGATAGCTAACAAACTCTTTCGAGGTGAAGACCGGTGTGAGGCAAGGTTGCTTACTCTCAACCTTTCTCTTTCTCCTGGTCATCGACTGGATTATGGAGACGTCGACATCTGGAGGGAGGCATGGTATCAACTGGACAGTTGAGACGCAGCTGGACGATCTGGACTTTGCAGATGACCTGCCTCTTCTATCTCACACGCAACAATAAATGCAAGAGAAGACAACCAGTGTAGCAGCAGTCTCTGCAGCAGTAGGTCTCAACATACATAAAGGGAAAAGCAAAATGCTCCGATGCAACACAATATGCGCCAACCAAATCACACTTGATAGAGATGCGTTGGGGGACGTTAACATCTTCACTTATCTGGGCAGCATCAAGGGCTGCATTTCTACAGTTGAAAAATATCTGGAACTCCAAACAACTTTCAACCAAAACCAAATTCAGGATTTTCAATACAAATGTCAGGACAGTTCTACTGTATGGACCGGATACCTGGAGAACTACGAAAGTCATCATCCAGAAGATACAAGTGTTTATTAACAGTTGTCTACTCAAAATACTTCGGATTCGTTGGCCAGACATGATCAGCAACAATGTACTGTGGAAGAAAGCAAACCAGATTGCAGTGGAGGAGGAAATCAGAAGGAAGCGGTGGAAGTGGATAGGACACACATTGCGGAAAGCACCGAACTGCGTCACGAGACAGGCCCTCACATGGAACCCTCAAGGTAAAAGGGGAAGAGGAAGGCCAAAGAACACACTACGCCGAGAAATAGAGTAAGATATGAAAAGAATGAACAAACATTGGACAGAACTGGAGAGGAAAGCCCAGGACAGACAGAGTTGATTGGAGGGAACTGGTTAGCGGCCTATGCTCCATTGGGGGTTACAAGCGCAAGTAAGTAAGTAAGTAATATATACAACCCCTAACCCTAACCCCATTCTATTGAAAATTAAAATACAATTAAACTCAACTTACTTTAAAAATAAATGTTTCATTAAATACTGGATTTAAAATTTTTCTATGAACTTTTGTTTCATATTTTTTCTTTTTATCCGGTAATAAAATAATTTTCACATATGGATCTGATGTACCACACATATCCATTGCCGGTAAATCACTAGCTTGAATGATACCAACAGTTAACTAAACAGAAAAACAGAAAAAGGAATCACAATCAACAAAACAATAGGTTCAAATTAGTTTGAATCATTTCATTCAAATGTCAATAATTATCTAGGGACTCAATAGTTAAGTGATATTTGAAATGAACAGGATTGAGTTTGAGTTCGGAAGTGAACATTGAACGGTGCTAGGATGAAAGAACATTCAGCTGTAAGACTAGTCCTAACTAAGATGAGATGTTAATCATGGATTCCAGTGCTACTCATCATTTAGATCTGCTTACAAATTTGAGAAGGTTTGATTACCCAATGTAGTGAACGAGAAAACAGGTGGGGCAATCGAATTGTATTTAACGAAAATTACAGAGTTACTCAGTAAAATCGGAAAACCATATCGTAAATCGTTCATTTGCAAAATATCAGTCCATCATCCATCGAACTGGACTGTTCCTGTTGCAAAAAAACATCAATCCATTGTCACTATTCATGCGTTTCACACAAATTCCATTGTGTTCCCACTCTTCTTTTCTTGATCCTCCCCAACCTTCTGCTGCCAGACATTACGTTTACACTCACGTCAAAAACTACTTATAAGTAGCTCGCACCACACTCGTCCCCCCTTTTAATAAGCTGTCGTCACTTTCAAAACAGGGACCCTGGTCAGTTAATATCACCTTCCGTATTCCGTGACGCGCTACAATATGCCGGATTACTACTTCGATCATTGTTCTTGCCCGCTGGTCTGGAATGGTTACGGCGTCTATCCAACGCGTAGCGTTTACTAGTTCCCACTTCTGGGACACGGCGGCAGGCACACTCTCGATAAATTGCGACGCCACCAACTGCGCGCCTCGACTCCCCATCCATACTCGGCAGAGTACGCCGCAGCAACGTCGTGAGCTCCACAGCCAACGCCAACGGGTCACCATCAGCCGACAGCCTCGCCAACCGGAACCTCTGCGGTGCCTCTTCCCTGTCCACCGGGCTGTCGAACTCCGTCATCAGCCGCCCGGTGACCGTCTCCCACACCGTCTTCCCGGCGGCACCGTCCAGGCTGTCGTATACCGCCTTCGCCTCACCTCTCCGTAGCGTACCTAGCACCGCCAACTCCGCCTCGCGCCCCTTCACACCCACCAGCTCCACCGCGGCCTCAAACTCCTCCGGGGAGCTCGGCTAATCTCCGTCCTCGAACTCCTCCGGCCACGTGAGCTCCTTCCTTCGAGCAGGTCGCGACACCAAATGTAGTGAACGAGATTTTATCTTCAGTCTCTAGAGTTATTTGTCATCTTTTAGCTAAAAGGTGTTAAAAATATACAAGTAGTGAGCATGGAAAGGAAAATAAATTGAAATTTGCTCCAAAGTATTGACTATTGAATATTGAAAAAGTTGTGGGAATAAAATTTGTTTTCATTTATTGAATAAACTGTCACCACTGTTTGATGAATAACGAATAACTGGATGAATAAAAGTTGTATTTTAAGTTATATTGGAGTGTTTGTCTTTGTGTTCATCAAATTTAAATCATGAAAATTATATGTTTTTAATTAGTGAATTGACTAGGTGCATAGAGTATGAGAGTGAAACATGGTCATTAAGAAACGAGGATATTCGTAGATTAGTTCGAAGCATTCCTCCTATATCCTAGGACTTCGCAGATGACCTGCCTCTTCCATCTCACACGCAACAACAAATGCAAGAGAAAACGACCAGTGTAGCAGCAGCCTCTGCAGCAGTAGGTCTCAACATACATAAAGGAAAAAGCAAAATTCTCCGATACAACACAACATGCACCAACCAAATCACTCTTGATAGAGATGCCTTGGAGGACGTTAACACCTTTACATATCTGGGCAGCATCATCGACGAGAAAGGTGGATCCGATGCAGATGTGAGGGTGCGGATTGGCAAAGCAAGGGCTGCGTTTCTACAGTTGAAAAATACCTGGAACTCCAAACAACTTTCAACCAAAACCGAAATCAGGATTTTCAATACAAATGTCAAGACAGTTCTACTGTATGGAGCGGAAACTTGTAGAACTACCAAAGCCATCATTCAGAAGATACAAGTGTTTATGAACAGTTGTCTACTCAAAATACTTCAGATTCGTTGGTTAGACACCATCAGCATTAGCGTACTGTGAGAGAAAACAAACCAGATTCCAGTGGATGAGGAAATTAGGAAGAAGTGGTGGAAGTGGATAGGACACACATTGCGGAAAGCACCTAACTGCGTCACGAGACAGGCCCTCACATGGAACCCTCAAGGTAAAAGGAAAAGACGAAGGCCAAAGAACACACTACGCCGAAAAATAGAGAGAGATATGAGAGGAATGAACAAACATTGGACAGAACTGGAGAGGGAAGCCCAGGACAGAGTTGGTTGGAAAAAACTGGTGGGTGGCCTACGCTACATTGGGGGTAACAGGCGTAAGTAAGTAATCGAGTACGCATTTCTGGTGTTATGAAACGTTTGCTAGGTAAGAGTAGCAGAATAATTGATGAAGTAGTGAATTTTCATCAGTTGAGGTGGTTGGAACATGCGTTGAGTATGCACAACCGCTAACTACCTCGATGACCAGTGTTGATTGGTGTTGGAGTAGACGAGAAGAGGTCAAATGGCCGCCTAACCGAAACACGGTACAAATCCATGAATTCTTAGACAGCTGAATTAAACCGTGTTAGTAGGTATAAACTAGCTGGTTGGGGTCTGAGATGCAATCGTAACGGATGGTTAGGGATTTTGAGTGACACAGATCAAAATCAGTGTCACAGTGACGCGAACGCGTCTATGCTTTGTCTTCCCGATTAGACTTCCTGATTCCTGGTCACCTGTATGTTTCTCTTTTTAAATTTCTTTCAAAGGATCATACTTCTGGACGCATTTCTTCGATCCCCCAGTCTTTTCGATTACAGGTAATAATACTGCTACTACCTCTACTGCTTCGTGACTTAAAGTGACAATCCCACGTCTCTGTGCTAATATGGTGTGGTAACTTGAACTGATGTACGTAGGTACTAAGTCCTACGTTGTTACTGACTATATGACTGATATGATGCACGTTAGGATCAGTAAGACACCAACTACAAAATAGTCAACTGTGGTGGTGTTTCGTCAGCACAAGCGAAATCAAGTACACGAACAAATAAACGGATCATCCTACCAGATATATAAAAGACATATCGGTGCATACAGCACGACTACTGAAACTAGTTGGAATTGGTGTAGCACACAAACCAACAAAATCACTTCAATCTATCCTGTATGTAGACCAAAGGACAAAATGAAAAAGGAAGAAAAACCAAATATCATCTACAAAATAAGTTGCTCAAACTGTGAAAAACACTACATAGGAGAAAGTGGACGACCTCTTCAGCTCCGTTTACGTGAACACCATAAAGCAGTCAAACGCCACGACAATTCTTCGCATATATCAATACACACCGACAATTATGGACATACTACATTCGATTGGAACAATACGGAAATACTGGATATGGGGAGGAAAAGAACACTAAAGAATTTTTAGAAGCTTGGCTGGCACTCAGATCAATTAGCAATCAACAAACACATAGACATTGATCCAATTTATCAACTAATCAGAAAAATCATAGGTGAAATAGGATCGCAAAGCGGATCAAAAGTGGGATACAATCAAGCACGAAGGTGGAAACAACGACAAGTTTAATGTCGACAGCAAACAATCAAGATGGAGGTTAACAGAACAAGCTACATGTCAAATGTGGAGAAATTCGAATACTTCAACTTCTTCTACCTGAAGTTTGTTCTGACGATCTTGTTCAGTAGAAGAACAATGAAATCTTCACAACCAAAACATCCTCAGCTCAGAGAACCAACCACCACCACAATCATCCATCCAACTGAACTACAAATCTTCTCCACCATCTCAGAGTTATGTATTTTAAATCTTTCTTAAAATGTAAATCATAGTAAGAAAAAAACAACTCAATGCAAATAACTAATCATACCTCAGCTTTTTGAAAATCATAATCCAGGGAAAATTGTAATTTCCCATAATACTGTTTCTCTTTTTCACTATCACCGGCTTGTTCTTGTTCATTTAGCTCCATATCAGATTTCAATGCAATATTATCCTGATTAAAGAAGGAACAGAAAAGAGAATTTTCAGATAGATATGAAGTGATGATTCTTCATTTTAAGGTTGGAGAATGGTTGGATAATGGTTTACATTACGGGGTTGTTGTGAAGATTGTTAAGTTACACATTATTTTGAAACCATGAATCGATCAATGTTAGACGAACCACCATTAGAAACCTGGAAGAAGCACTGGACGGCCATTTCGTCCTGGTATGGGACTCCTCAGCAGTGCGCATCCACAATTCCTGTACCCCGTAGGATTCGAAATCAGGACCTTCGGTATTGTGCGCGAATGCCTTAACCGATAGACCACTGAGCCGGTTTCATCTAACGATGTTAATGTCTAACTTGATCAAATTCACGGAGTTGCGCAACCTCATACACAATCTTCGGTAGTTACTGTCTACACTCGAACAGGCCGTCCAGTGCTTCCAGGTTTCTAATGGTGGTTGGTCTAACATTGATCGGTTCATGGTTTCAAAAATGTGTAACTTAACAATCTTCACAACAACCCCGTAATGCAAATTACCTGTGCTCACTAGTGACTAGCTTTGTGAGGAATCTTCTCCAAGATCTAGTGGGAAGACGTGACCAGTGAAGTTCAACCGGTTCGGGTGTAGACAGTAAATACTACCGAAGACTGTGTATGAGGTTGCGCATTTCCGTGAATTTGATCAAGTTAGACATTAACACCGTTAGATACCGGCTCAGTGATAATGGTTTAGTTAACCGAAAATTTCCGATAATCTAATCATATCATGGATGCTTTGTGATGTTGATATTCGTTCAAATTAGTAATCAGTGATAAAGCTTTTTTACTTAGCAACTTATTCTGATATCTACGAGGATTACATTTCTTGGTAAGTGCAGTTATTGTACTTTGATGTTTACATCCGTCGTCATATATATAAAAACAGTTAATCAACTTAATTACCGATAGTAATTTTGTTAAATACTTCAAACTACTTATATGTTATTAGGTAGTGTAAAAATATTCAATGTCAAATTTTAATTAAAACAATATTTTTCCATGATAAACAACCATCCCAGATTGTTTTTCATCATCAGTTCGATATTTTTTCGCTCGTATCTTTAAGTATTGGGTGGATATTTCGTCCTAGTATGGGACTCATCAGTAGTGCATTTCCAAGACTCCTTGTCGAAGGAATTGAATCCAAGAGCTTCGATCTGCAGAGCGAACACTTCACCTCTAGATAACTGGTTCGGCAACCAACAGTTGTCAGTGTGTATCTTCAATCAATCCACAATCTCTTTGAATATCATCCACAAACTCAAACTTATCGTTATGATTTACAAAGACTATTTTATCATTACACAATAGTTAGAATTGTTTTACTTTTTTTTACCGAGTATCGATTAAAAAGATTATAGAAGTTTACATCATATAGCGAAGTCAGTTTAAGTATAAGTAAAATGAAGTTAGTGAGATAAAACAAAATCACTTTGAAATCATGAGTCGATCAATGTTAGACCACCATTATAAACCTGGAAGCACTGGACGGCCGTCCTGGTACAAGACTCATCAACAGACACATTCACAACTCCTGCACCTCGCAGGATTCGAACCCAGAACCTTCGGTTCCCGCCTTTGCGCGCAAGACTTGGATGCACATAGATGATGAGTTCCATACCCAGACGAAATGGCCTTCCAGTGCTTTCAGGTTGATCGATTCATGATTTAAAATGTGTAACTTAACAATCTTCACAACCCGTAATGCTAAATCACTTATATGGATTTCTGAAGTTTGAAATATTTCGTTTCTAACTAAATTTATCACGTTCTATATGAATATCGAATTTCCCTTCTTCAAACTTCTTTTTATCATGAAATAGAGTGATTACTTATCCCTTTATCCTTTTATCTACTCGTAAAAACTACTTATGAACATTTATCTCGCTTTACCATGAAAAAGGAAAGACTATTCATTCAGTACACAGTGTGATTAGCCAGAAACCCCCTTTTAAGGATCGAATTATGTTGAGTTATAGGTGTTAAGAATAAAAAAAGTTGAAGTTGCAGGTAGACGACTAATAGACGTTTCGTGACCAGTAGTGTCCAAGATATGAATGAGATATTTGCTAACCTCTAAAACTGACTATTCCAGTGAGAGGGTAAGAGAGGAAGAGAAAGTCTACTTGGGTACCAAATCATTCACATAGTGTTAGGATATTCATCCAGTATCCTAAGAGAATTATTGGTCAATTCCTATTGGTTAATTCCTACTGGTCAATTTTATGGTCTTCCTAGATATCAGTGTCACATGCTCCAGTGTTGTTTCTTATTGGTTATCCTCACTATCAATGTCACTTCAAATGTTGCTTCCTATCGGTCGACATAACTGTCAATGTCACAGAATTCGACGCTGTTTCCTATTCGACCCAACTGTATAAATACGCATTATCTGTAACGTTTTATGACCCGGATCCTCAGTTAGGGATCAGGGTCTTCTTCTGGACTCGTACCTCTTACTTTCCATACGCTTGTAGAATACAGGTTCTACTTCATATCAAGTCTTGTCTTCTTGTACTCAATATGGGGTTGGGATAATCGTATTTGAGTAGCATGTCGTGTCGCCGGATCCTCGATCCTCGCTCTCGTTTTCCGACTAGGTAAATTCGTAATAGTTCAAGTATATCAAGTTGACGTGTTTACGTGCAGGCGTAACACATATATATATTTCTCTCCTTAGAAAATGAATGCCTCTCCGGACCAATGATATTTACTCTTCCTTCAAGACATTTTCATTTGTCATGTAGTGACCTTCTTGTTCAGCCACTTTTGATTGGCTCTCTGAAATAAGATATTAGGTCAGATCTCATGTAAAATGAGACTGTCAAACGTTCGTAACTAATGTTCATTGAATGACTGTAGATGGAACAGTACTACTGAATACCATCTTATCGATTACAGTAGGTCAGCCTTTGTATCCACTTCATAAACGTCATGGTTACGATTCTTAGTAGAGTCATAGAAGTCTACTACTAAAGAAAAATCCCTTACTAGAACAACCTGTAAAAACTATACTGGACAAATATACTGTAGTGAACGAGAAAACAGGTGGAGCAACCGGACTGTAGTTAAGGAAAATTACAGAGTTACTCAGTAAAATCGGAAAACCATATTGTAAATCGTTGTTAATTTGCAAAATATCAGTTCATCATATCGAACTGGACTGTTCTTGTTGCCAAACATCAATCCATTGTCCTTATTCATGCGTTTCATACACAAATTCCATTGTGTTCTAACTCTTCCTTTCTTGATCTTCCTCCATCTTCTCTGCTGCCAGACATTACGTTGACACTCACGTCATATACTACTTATAAGTAGCTCACACCACAATACTTTTCAATAATTAAGCTAACAAAGAAAATATTAACCAATAATCAAAGAAAAACCAATCAATTTTATTTTTAAAAAAAATCTTACTTGACTTTTTAATGCTGCAGATAAATGAGCCGCTGTTTTCAAATCTGATGTTAATTTTCCACCAACCAATGACATTTTCTTACCATCTTTTCTTGAACGACGTTTTTTCAGCACACAACGTTTACAAAACCAAATTAATAATAACAGACCGAATGTTATGCCTAATATCGTGAGACTGACAACACCACCGTAGGGTACTTGAATCGGGGGAAATAAGATATAAGAACAAAGAGAATGCACATTAGTGGATGTTATTTGAGAGAAAGACAACAATATTGGATGAACAGAGCAGTTTAAATGAAAGGGTATCATACTGTTGGGTGATGCCAGTTCAGTGGTCAAAAAGGTTAGGCGTTTGGTAGCAAGATCGCAGGCCCTGGGTTCGAATCCTGCGAATAGTAGGAGTCCGATACGGGGAGAAAACGGCCATTCGGTGCTTCCAAGTTTCTAATGGTAGTCTAACAATAACTGATTCGTGTAAATATACACGTATTTATATCATAAGTGTCTAAGTAGTTGGTACCAACGTGGACGTTAAGAGTAGAAGATATTCATAGGTTACTAGTTTTCGATCATCGATGTATCTCCTGGGACAACCGTGTAAGCAATGCTGTTGTTAGGAAACGAGTATTAGTTAGAGAAGGCAGATCAATTGGTGAAGTAGTGAAACTTCATCAGTTGAGGTGGTTGGGACATGTATTACGTTTGCCGAACCACCGGCTTCCGCGACGAGCTATGTTTTGTAGTGTAAGAGTAGACTGGAAGAAAGCTAGGGGCGGCCAAAGCAAAACATGGCACAAATCCATGAAGTCATTGATCAGTGAACTGAGTTATGCTAGTAGATGTAGGCTATCTGGTTGCGGCCCGCGAGACGATAGTCACCGATGGTCAGAGACCTTGAACGACATGGCCCAGAATCGTTTTCAGTGGTGCAGGTGCATCCACTCTTTGTGTGCTTTTTAATTCTAGCCTTCTGAAATCCTTCAAAATTTATCTTACTGAACTATACATCTCGAATCATATCTTCACTCCCTAATCTTCTCCATTACTGCTAATACTTCTATTATTGCTATCACTGTTGGATTTGAACTGACAGTTGCGTCTCTGTGCTGATGTGGTACCTCTACTTACGTACGAAATTCTGCGTTGTATCTCTCTGTCTGTCAGCAGTTGGTACCGGGACACATGATTCATCTTTGATGTGAATACTGATAAGTGAAGTTTGATAATTAAGTTTCAAATATTTGATATATACCATGAATAAAACTATAAAATGTGCACTTGAACATCACTGTTATTTCAAAATAGAATCCAGGAATATGAGTTCCATTTTGTTTGAGGTTTGACAGTTGATTGTACGTGCGTCATTGTATCGATTCTCAAATTGAAATTTGAACTCTGTACTGTTCACTTCAAACATCAACTCGTCCTTAAATAATTGATCTATTTAATTCAAGCGTTAACTGAAGCTCCTTTTTTATTTAAAAATATCTAACGATGTTGACACCAAGTATCATATACTCACTAGTGATTAACACTGTGAAGACGTTTCACCAAGTTCTAGTGACAAGTTGTAACCAGTGGAATCCAACCCTGTTCAGATATTAAGCAGTGCTTACTGAAGACAGTAGATAAGGTTCAGCAAAACCCTGAATCGAACGAATTCACATATTACCGACATTAAGTGTTCGCGTGCAAGTCCGGAACTTCTGGATAACGAGAGTCACGAATGCGCATTGCTGATGAGTCAGTCCTATACACGGACAAAAACGGCCATTCAATTCTTACAAGTTTCACAGTGATCGATACATGATTTCAAAAATTCACTCAACAATCTTTACAACCCTATAACGCAAAATAATTTTCTACTTATTTTCAGCCAATTTCTCTTTCATGCCCATGAACACATGATAGATACCAGATAATAAAAAAACACACAATGGGGACAATATAAAGAGATTATTAAAAATGATACAGGCGTGTGAAGAAAGAGACAGGGTGACAGAGAGACTGGGAGAGACTGGGAGAGACAGAAAGAAATTGAAACTGTGCCAAAAAATTGTTTGAAAATAAAACCCAAAAGAACAGATGTTTTTTGTTTTTTTTTCAAAAATTGTTGTAGAGAAAAATATTTTCCCATTTTTCCATATCGACAGAAATAATTTTGGGTAATATAAAAATTATAAAACAGCTTTTTTTTACAATATATTTTATTAGAGACGATAAAAGAATGTAGAGTGGCGGCTATTGAATATTGAATAAACATGGTTGATTAATTTTCTGTTTATGGCGTGCGCGCGTGCGCGAAATATTGAAGAAATGAATTTTTTATGATAGAACAGTGGTAAAGTGAGATATCGATTTCTTGTTTTAAATAATGTAAATTCTTGATATTCATAGTTCTCATGTTATACAAACCGCTTTTAGGCATAAACCAGATTCTAACTGAGGAAGGAATTAGGAAAAGGCGTTAGAGCTGGCTAAGGCAGACACTGTGGAAATCATCCATGTGCATATAGAGGAAAACTTTGACTTGGGACTGTCAAGGCCGAAGGGAAAGAAGGAGCCTAAAGAACAAATTACTCAAGGAACTGGAGATACATATGAGAGTATTGGACAGCAGCTGAGTAGAACTGGAAAGGAACACCAAGATCAGAGTAGTTTGGAGGACAGGGATCGTCGGTTTATGGTCCATGAGGCTTAACGAGTGTAAGTTAATTGGTATTTTGATAAATAAAAACATTCAAAACAGTGGTTCCCTTTGATAAATTTGAATAGAGAAATGAGATGACATATTTTGTGAGATAGTACCATTTCGTGCTTTCTCGTCAGTCACGTTCTGTTGTCAAAACTTTATTCGCTCGAGCAAGTAGAATCTGCACTGCTGATACATTGAACGACGAATTCAAGCTTATTACTGAGACGCTTAAATCAAACGGATATCCCGAAACGTTTATTGGTCATCAGAACACAACTACGACGAAGTTGATAGCAACTGATGTACCCAAGAAATCAGTGTACCTACAGTTACCTTTCAAGGGTGATCATTGCATGAAAATTACAACTAAACAGACTGCAGCTGCAATAAAAAAACCTTCAATGCAGCTAATCTGAGGCTTATCACAACAACTCAATCGATCTCAGTCACCCCAATCAAGTCTCCAAGACCGATTCAGTCCAAATCCCACTGTATTTACCAATTCACAGGTAACTGCGGAGAAAGTTACTTGGGGAGGACAGGATAGGAGAACATATTCCAAAATGGTTAATCAAATCCATGATTCATCTACCACCTAGCCCGTCATCTCAAAATCGATCAAGAAACCCAGCCTCGTCCATTGCAAAACATCTAATGATGAGTGGTCATCAAATTGACCCAAAATCAGCCTTTAGAGTTGTGACATGTCATCAAAACCCACACACACACTCAAACTACTCGAAGCTATCTTGATTGGTCGTAAAAGTCCAACTTTATGTGTTCAAAAACAACTGTATGTTGACCTTTGTTTATCATGGTTCTAGTGAGTGAATGAATGTCAGGTTAAATAAGAAATTTTGACCTTATCTTCAAAACTGCTGTATTTACACAAATAACAAGTTGCTTGTATGTGACTGACGAGAAAGCACGAAATGGTACTATCTCACAAAATATGTCATCTCATTTCTCTATTCAAATAAAAATATGTTATGTTGGAGTTATGTAGTGTGTTTGCGTACTTGCTGATCAACCTACTAACTAAATCTCAAACTCTTGAACCCGAAACAAAAGATTCTTTATTTTGAAGGTCAGTTTACAAGTAAGAAAGTAAGGAACTTCATTGGTGAATGTATGACCTTGGAATGATAGAAGCTCGTAGAAACAATCCTGTAATTGATAAGAATGACGAAAATTGTTTGGTTTCACTGATAGTCAGGACTATAAATGACCAGTCTCATTTGGCTTACATATATCCTGTCCGGATTGTCACCGTATAGTAGTGGATAGCACTGGAATTCAAGACGCATGTTTCGTCCTAATTGGAACTCTTCATAAGCCGAATGTACCTCGACCTTAGTGTTGATGTTCATGGAGGGACTCGAGCTATGTACACAACGTGATGATGTTTGAAATGAACTGTACTGTGTTCAAATCCTGGAACGAACTATGAGATACAAGTATACATAACTTATAATGAGTTCTATCTGGGATGAAACACACAATCTGAATTCTACTGTTAATCACTATCACTATCTCTATCAATCATTCATAGTTTGAAACTTTTTGGCTGAATTGTAACAATTAGAGTTATCCTCATTAATTTCTTTGTTTCAAAAATTCTTTTTTCAAATATTTATCAAAGTTATTGAATTTTGAACAGAAATTCAATATTTATGTCATAAACTTTTTGACAATAAGTGCGAAAAGTATCAACTGGAACAAAAGTAATTCATCCTTCTTTATAGTTTAATTTAACTAAAAATGAGATTAAGATGACCTCAAGTGGGAAATTAGTTAAATCAATCATTCGAATATATATGTATATTTTGATTAGCAGCCATGTGACAAAACTCTCACACAGACTAAAAAATGATAGATAGATGTTCATTAGTGAGAGATTTAAAATAACCTCACGATAAAAAACAAAATTTCCGTTTTATTTCTCATTTGAGTGTGTACTCGTTTCGAAATATTTTAGTTTTGACAAAGAATTTGACAAAGTTGAATCTACACGACATGTTAATATAATTGAAAATGATATTTTCAGCAAAGTCGATATGATTTAAGTTGGTTTCTACTACTTCACAAGTTGACTCTGCAGATGGTGGAGAAAATTTGTACAGGAACGAATAAATGGATCATCCTACCATACATAAAAGACATATCGGAGCATACAGCACGACTACTGAAACCAACTGGGAATAGGTGTGGTACACAAACCAACAGAATCACTTCAATCAATCCTATGTAAGCGCCAAAGGACAAAATGAAAAAGGGAGAAAAACTAAATATCATCTACAAAATAAACAACTGCTCAGACTGTGAAAAACACTACATAGGACCAAGTGGACGTCCTCTACAGCTTCGTTCACGTGAACACCAATTAACAGTCATACATCACGACAATTCTTCGCTTATATCAATACGTACCGACATTTATGGACATACTACATCCGATCGGAACAATGTGGAAATATACTGGATAGGGGGAGAACAAAGAACATTAGAGAATTTTTAGAAGCTTGGCTGGCACTCAGGTCAATCAGCAATCAACAAACATATCGACATTGATCCAATTTACCAACCAATCAGAAAAATCAAAGGTGACGTAGGATCAAGAAACAAATCAAAATGGAGATACAATCAAAATCAAGACTACAAACAACGACAACTTTAATGTCAACAGCAATCAATCAAAATAGAGGTTAGCAGAACACAAGCTACATGTCAAACATGGAGAAATTCGCATACTTCACTTCTTCGATCTGAAGTTTGTGCTGATGATGATGTTGTGTTCAGACGAAGAACAATGAAAGCTTCACAACCAAAACAACCAGCTCAGAGAACCAAACACCAACACAATCAAGTTGAATCAGATGACGTATGTAGACAGTCAGTTGGATTGACATTGAATTACTTTATTATCTGAAGATAGTCATCAGAAAACTGTGTTTGCAATTAAGGACCTGTTGTTTAAACGTATCTGTAGCCTTTCGGAAAAATGACGATACCTAACGAGTACATGAACCGACAAACGCAAGATGAACTTTTCGTACTGATATGTGAATCATCAACAACGAACATCTACGATTCCCGCTACTCACAGGAGTCAAACTCAAGAGTTTCTGTCTCACAAGTGAATGCATAACATCTAGACGACTGAGCCAGCACCCAACAGTGTTAGTGACTTACTTTAATTAATCCAAGGTATTTCACAACTTCATCCATTGTCCTCAGTGGTTTATGCCTACACTTGACAAGACTGAACTCCACTGATCACGTCTACTCACTGGAACTCTGAGAATTTGGTCATAAAGCTACTCACTAGTGAGGAAATTCTATGCTATTCATTATATCGACTTCAGTATTACCTACTGACTACTGCCAACCATCATAACTTAGTAGGTGCGATATCAAGTTACGCAGACTAGTGACTAACTTGATCAATAAAATATTTTCAATCTGCTCTTTCCTGTGTCTTCCATTCCAGTTCTATCTGACTATGTTTGTTTTTCTCATATCTGTCTCTATATCTCAACGGAGTATGTTCTTTGTCCGTTCTCTTTTCCTTTGGCCTTGCGGATTCGAAGTGAGGTCGTGCTGTACGACGCAGTTGGGTGCTTTCCTCAATGTGTTCCCTATCCACTATCAGCGCTTTTTCCTGATTTAATCCTCCACTGGTTTGTTCTTTCCCACAGTAGATTGTTGATGTTGGTGTCTAGCCAGCGGACCCGAAGTGTTTTGCGTAGACAACTGTCAATAAATAATTATATCTTCTGGATGATGGTTGTGGTAGTTCTCCATATTCCCCCCCATACAGTAGAACTGTCTTGACATTTGTTCTGAAAATTCTGACTTTGGTTGTTTTGAGTTCCAGATGTTGTACAACTGTAGAAATGATGTCTCTGCTTTGCCAATCCTTGCATTCACATCTGCATCAGATCCACCTTGCCCATCAATGATGCTGCCCTCCAAATCATCTCCATCAAGTATGATTTAGTGAGTGCATGTTGTCTTGTATCACAGAATCCTACTTTTCTGTTTACCTTTGTTGAGACATACAGTTGCCGAAGCTGCTGCTGCACTGGTAGTCTTCTCCTCCATTTGCTGTTGCATGTTGGATAGGAGAACCGGAAATCCAGATAGTCTAGATTCATCCCAGCTGTACGCTGTATTCCATACTCAACCCCCCTAGATGTTGACATTTTCATAATCCAGTCAATCACCAAGAGAAAGAGAAAGGGTAAGAGTAAGCAATCTTGCCTGACATCGGTCTTCAATATACATGTCCTCCATACACGAAACTACAGTTTAATCTATAATATAACGCTAACCAGAAATTGCAAGTGTTTCGAAATATCAACTAGGAATATATAAAAAGATTTCATTTCAAGCATTATACAATAAAAATTATGAGACAGAAATAAAATGTGATCACTTGATTTTATCCCATCTTCATACATATATGAGTGATAAAATCAATGTCAGTTCAATAATTAAACCACAATCAAACTTACTGTTAGGGAAGATAGATCCCCAAAACTCGCTCGATGAAATGCCTTAATTTTGGATTTTATGTTTCCGAATATCGGCTGATCAGTTGACATTGAGATTATATTTCCCTCTCAGGAAAATCCTTGGCTGTGATTGGTCACCGTGTATTTTAGTGTGCTATTCTTGTGACTGTCCTAAGGACGTTTCTATGATGCATAAATAAACGCGATTTGTGTGCTTGAATGCATTGTGCCTGCTGGGTGTTTGTAGAATATACTTTCTACGCTATATCACGACTCCTCGTTAGCTGTTTTGAGCCTACCGTGTCCCTGGTTCATTGTCTCGTTCTCGTTTATCGACTATGGTGAACCCATAATAGTTTCAAGCATACCTAGTGACGATCATAACACTTACGCCTTATGATTTTATACAAAATACTATTAAAATAAGCTTTTGTGTAAACATTCGCGAAAAAGAAATCTAACTCACAGACAAAATTCTCAGGTTCATCTATGACAGTATTAAACAGACAAATATATATATATATATATATATATATATATATATATATATATATATATATATATACATATATATATATAACGCTCTTCACTAGGTAGGCTTGAAGCTATTACGAGTTCACCTTAGTCGATAAACGCAAACGGGACAATGCACCAGCGTCCAGGTAGGCTACCTTGATTCCTTGACCAAATGGTATCAGCAAGAACTCTTGATATAGTGTAGAAATTGTATTCTACAAACATCCAGCCAGCACACACAATGAATCCAACCACTCAAATTGCGTTTATTTATACTCTATAGAGACAGTGAGGACGCAGCTGGACGATCTGGACCTCGCGGATGACCTGGCTTTTCTATCTCACACGCAACAACAAATGCTAGAGAAAACGACCAGTGTAGCAGCAGCCTCTGCAGCAGTAGGTCTCAACATACACTGTATGGAGCGGAAACTTGGAGAACTACGAAAGCCATCATCCAGAAGATACAAGTGTTCATTAAAAGTTGTCTACGCAAAATATTTCAGATTCGTTGGCCTAATACCATCAGCAACAACGTACTGTGGGAGAAAACAAACCAGATTCCAGTGGAGGAGGAAATCAGGAAGAAGCGGTGGAAGTGGATAGGACACACACTACGAAAAGCACCTAACTGCATCACAAGACAAGCCCTCAAGGTCAAAAGAAGGCCAAGGGATACATTACGCCGAGAAATAGAGAAAGATATGAGAGGAATGAACAAACATTGGACAGAACTGGAGAGGGAAGCCCAGGACAGAGTTGGTTGGAGAAAACTGGTGGGCAGCCTATGCTCGATTGGGGGTAACAGGCGTAAGTAAGTAAGTATGTAAGTAAGTAATAGAGACATCCTTCGGTCATTCACAAAAATAGCACACTAAAATGGCACAGTAACTAATCACAGTCAAAGATTTTCCTGTTGGGAAATGTGATCTCAAGGTCAGCTGATCAGTCCATGAAATAAATCCAACATAAAGATATTTATCAAGCGAATACTGGGGATCTAACATCCCCTACAATATATATATTTATATAACTAACCAATTAAACTTACATCCACCGTGTTCTGTTCGATCAACCGGACGTTTTATCAATGCTTGTTGATGTCTCGATATTGCTTGTTGTCCAGTTTTTGTATGCGTTATATCAACTGGTGCTGAAAAAGCACTATACATTTGTTGTAAATCACTATCTTCTATACGTGATATCCGATGTGTTGATGATGGAGATGATGGAGATGGAGATGATGGTGATGACCATGATTTGTGATCAGTTTGTTTGTTTTCTTCAAAATGTACAGTGTTAGTAGTAGTGGTAGTAGTAGTAGTATGTGTATTGGTTAACAATGAATTATTCGTGGTATACACTTCTTCTGTTGTATTTACATTAATTTCAGTCACGTTCATCAGTGTTACAGTGGTAATATTGTCGACTCGATTGTTCAATGTTAAAGGCTCAAGTGTTGTTACATTGACAATATTAGTTGTATGATTTAAAGTTGTTTCATTATCAACATTTTCAATGTTCAATTGTTCATTGATCATTGTTTTGTTTAAATGATGATCATTTGTTGACAATTTTAAAGATGATATTACAGAATTATTATCATTGAGTAATTTCATGATTTAGTAATTAATTTTAAGGAGATGTTTGATTTGACTTTCTGTGTATCATACATTCACCTAGTTCAATATCTAGAAATTTGTTTTAATAGAAGGAAAACAGAAAAAAATTGAAAAACTTATATGAGAAATTCGATTGAGTGTATTAAAAATGTCATGCTGCATTGAGAATGAATAATTGTAATCGCTGATCATCTGGCACTTCTATGGAATACACGCAACAATAAATGCAAGAGAAGACGACCAGTGTAGCGGCAGCCTCAGCTGTAGCAGCTCTCAACATACATAAGGGGAAAAGCAAAATTCTCCGATGCAACGCAACATGCAGCAACCAAATCGCTCATGATGGAGATGCCTTGGAGGACGTTAACACCTTTACATATGTAGGCAGCATCATCAACAACCAAGGTGGATCCGATGCAGATGTGAAGGAGGGGGATCGGCAAAGCAAGGGCTACATTTATACAATTGAACAACATATTGAAATCCAAACAACTATCAATTAACACCAAACTCATCATTTTTAATACAAACGTCAAGACAGTTCTACTGTATCGAGCGGAAACTTGGAGAACTACCAAAGCCATCATCCAGAAGATACAAGTGTTTATTCAATATCCAGTTGTCTACGCAAAATACTGCGGATTCGTTGGCCAGATACCATCATCAGCAACCTACTGTGAGAAAGAACAAACTGGATTCCTCCAGCTGAGGAAGAAATCAGAAAGAAGCACTGGAAGTGGATAGGAAATTCATTGCCGAAAGCAACTGACTGCGTTGCGACGCAAGCACTCACTTGGAATCCTTAGGGTCAAAGGAAAAGAGGAATTTCGCGCGACCTCACCCATTTGTCTTTCGTAGTTACTGCCTACACCCGACAGGGTTGAACTCCATTAATCATGTCTTCTCAACTAGAACTCCGAGAGTTTCCTCACGAAGCTAGTCACTAGTGAGCACTGTTATGATATTTTGGGGCAGAGTTTTTTGGAGGTTTGTGTTTTTACACATTTGAAATCATCAATCAATCGTTGTTAGACCACCATTAGATGTCAGGTGTAGGCAGTAACTACCAAAGAAAAATGGGTGAGGTCGCGCAAAATCCCTAGATCAATCAGAATTAGACATTGAAACCGTTAGATGCCGGCCCAGTAGTCCGATGGTTAGGCGTTCGCGCACAATACCGAAGGTCCCGGGTTCGAATCCTGCGAGATGCTGGACTCATGGATGCGCACTGCTGATGAGTTGTCCCATGTCAGGACTTGACGGCCGTCTTTCAGTGCTTCCAGGTTTCTAATGATGATCTATCTAACAACGATGATTGATTGATGATTTCAAATGTGTAAATTATATTCCTCAGTTCATTTAAAGATAACAACTTATTATATTCCTATAAAAGATTTCGTGTATTTATGTTTTTCACTTAAAATATTGTAATGCGGACTACCGTGGATAACTGTACACATTCAATACTCTACTTCTAAATCACCAGAAATATAGGCGAAATTCTGCTATATACTACATGATTTATTGAACATTGAAAGTACTCATCGTTAATAACCTTAATCATTTAAATTTAAAACAAAAACATTATCACATTTTCAGCCACACACAAAAAATAATTCATTGTTTTGAAGTTTCTTGTTTCATCAACTTGTATCAACAAAGTTTGTGCCTGTCTACTTTTGTTTCAATTTTCAATGTTGAACATTGAACAATGTTTTAAAGACAGGTTGTTGATGTTGAAAACAAAATACAAATTCAATGTTTTAGTGGGAAAAAACAAAAAGTAGAACATGTGGCAATGAACAAATGTTACGGCGTTTCTTAATTCATAGTATAAAATAATTAAACTGCTTTCAGTTAGAGAGGAAAATGTGAGAACAAACATTGTGCGAATCAGCTAATTCTATTGTGGTGCGAGCTACTTATAAGTAGTATATGATGTGAGTGTCAACGTAATGTCTGGCAGCAAAAGACGATGGGGGAAGATCAAGAAAGGAAGAGTTAGAAAACAATGGAATTTGTATGAAATGCATGAATAGTGACAATGGATTGATGTTGTTTACAACAGGAACAGTCCAGTTCGATATGATGAACTGATATTTTGCAAATTAACGATTTACGATATGATTTTCCTATTTTACTGAGTAACTCTGTAATTTTCGTTAAATACAATTCGGTTGCCCTACCTGAGTTCCTTCACTACAGTATCATAAGGCAAGCTGTGACATGAAATGGCAAAGGTATAAGGAAAATGAAAGCGCTGAGGGATACACACACAACAGATAATATGAGAATGTAGAATACTTGAGAAGAACTAGACAGAAGAACCCCGGGATAGAGTAGGTTGGAGATTGCTTATCAGCTGCCGCAGTTGATAATAGACTTAAGTAACTCGTCTTAATAGGTTCATGTATGTGATGGGGTTTCATTCTCTGAGCTGGAGATGCTTTGTTTATGGAACTTTTATTGTTCTTCTTCTGAACAACATCATCAGCATAGACCTCAGTTAGAGAAGTTAGGTATTGTTATTTCTATACGTATTACCAGTAGCTTGTTCTGTTAACCTCGATCTTCATTGATTGCTATTGATCTTAAACTTGTAGTTGTCAAAATTGTCCGAAACGAAGTATTGTCATGTCGTTTGACTGATAATTGATGATAATTGATAATTGATAAACGCCCAGGATGCTGTTTTGATTCTATAAACTTTGATTCAGTGTTTTTTATACTCGGTTCAAATGTCTTTAATCAGCTTGAGAATCATTCTATTTGTAATAAGCTTTAAGGGTTTGTCTTAGACACACAAAAAGCTAACCGATTAAAGAAATGTGGTCAATGAAATAAGTAAACTGCTAAATAATATGTTTATATACTACTTATATTGTTCGAAAATAGTACTAACAGCTTACAAACTTTAAGTATTTGTGATACATTTTCGTACTAAAAGATAAACAACGTGTTTCTCGAGGTTATAAACAAATCTTACAATATGACTGAGATAAAGATCATCTAAATTTCGGATTGACTTCAATCATTCTTAGTTTAAAGATATTTACCGAGGCCAAAAACACTTGGAAACCTCCTGTTTATAGACATACTTGAAAATGTGACATTTTTTCATGGTCAAGAAGTGAGCTATGTTTTGCAGTGTAGGAGTAGGTTGGAAGGAAGTTAGGGGCGGCCAAACCAAAACATGGCAGAAATCCATGAAGTCACTGACAGACAAGTGGACTGAGTCATGTTGGTAGATGTAAGCTACCTGGTTGTGGTCCGCGAGACGATAGTCACCGATGGTTAGAGACCATGAACGACATGGCTCAGAATCGTTTGCAATGGAGCAGGTGCATCCACTCTTTGTGTTCTCTCTACTTCTAAGCTTCTGCATTCCTCATAATCTCTACCTTTCTCCTTCGAAATTTATCTTACTGAATTAATACTTCTTGAATCATATCTTCACTCCCTAATCTTCTCCATTACTGCTAATACTTCTACTATCGCTATCACTCTTGGATTTGAACTGACAGTTGCGTCTCTGTGCTGATGTGGCATAGCAACCTGAACTGATGTACTGGCGTACGAAGTTCTGCGTTGTATCTGCCTGTCCGTCTCGTTAAGAAGTCACTGGATCGATAAAAAAGAATTATTTTCCCGGTAGTACTTCTCTATTTCAAAAAATTCCTTAAACAGGCAACAACCCCAAAGCCTTAGTTTTACTCTACGGTAACAAGTTGATCATTGGAACTTGATTATAACAAATCAGGTCATCGATCATAAGTTCTTATGTTCAGTGATAAAAATAGAATTCCATTTGATTTGTTTACAAGTGAATGTTGTAAAACTTTACCGACAATATCTGATTCTATTTGATTCTAACCCTCACACTTTATTATAGTCACTGATTAGAAAGTTTGAAAAAAAACACATCTAATTTTAATCGATCGCGATAATTTATTGTTTCTTCATTTATCAATGATAAAATTCTTTACAATATTGAAAATCCGCCAAAATTATTTGTTTAAATGCAGTCACACCGTTCAATATTCAATGATTAAATGTTTGTTCAATGTACGCGCCATAGTTATTGTTATTATTATTATTGTACCGTAACTTATTTTTTGAATAAATGATGAATCTTTGTTAATTACTGAAGGTTGACTAAAAATTTATTCATGCGTAACTTAATGACAACCTGAAATCAGTAGTATTTTGATTGCTTTCTGCATTTACTGGCTGATGAAAAATATGTGTGAAAAGAAGTTCTGTGCGCTTAATATTGTAACAACAAATCAAAAGCAGATATGATTTTCATTAGAGAACTGAAACTCCGCCTGGGGCCTCTATGGGGCTACTGACGGTCTCAAGCCCTGACAAAAGAGGAGGGTTGGGCATGGGGTTGGCAACTCCATCCTTCCAAGCTTTCCTATAAATAAGAGAGGAAAGCATGAATGATCGCAATGTGTTGTATCCATAGTTTGGGTTATGAAAGCTCACTGTTGATCAATTTTATAGTGGTACATTACAACTTGTCAATGATTCCCGATTATCAAATAGTTATGTAACTGATGTCAGTCTAAGATCTAAAGTTATATCTATTGCCAGTAAACTAAATAGCTTAGAATCAGTGCTAGCCCATACGGAATACAGTTCAAATAAAAATTTCTCACAACTCAGCACAAAGATTACATCATGCAGTTGATCAGAAAGAAGACGTTGTCTAGAAAATTTAATCATTTCTAAAGTTTGATTTCGATAAATTGATTATTTGTGATATGGAGTGACCAATCAAAAACACGAATTCAGTAGAAACAGTATCGATTTAGTGAACCAACCAGAAAGCGAATTAACGGCCGAAAAATGTCTTTAAGTCTGAATACATGTCATTGGGCGGGGAAATTGTTTCATTTTCTAAGGTGGTTTATATATATAATCATCAGTCAATCATTGTTAGACCACCATTAGAAACCTGGAAGCACTGGACTGTTGTTTCGTCCTGATATGGGACTCATCAGCGGCTATGCGCATCCACGACTCCTGCACTTCG